TTATATATACCTACATATATATATATATATATGTATATTAATATTGTTAATACCATTAATATTGCTGATTGTCTAATAATAGTAGATCATTGTAAAATTTACTGTAAATATCTTTTTACATATTCTTTTTTTTTTTGTACTAATGGGTTTATCCCATAAACAAAATATAATGATTGGAAACAAGAGCATAGGCTATTGATAAGTGATTTCCATTTCGTTATATTACTTAGAATGGTCTCTTCTACACCCTGAGCGAAGGTGGTACAGCTGATGTCAGTACGTCTCCAGGAAGCGGAGAAAGTAGTATAGCCGATGAGCTGACGGATTTACGTAGACAAGTGATCTTTTTACAAGGCCAAGTAGAAGATAAAGATCGAACTATACAAATACTTCAGGTATATTTAATATTACCTGATCAAAAAAGTATATGGATATAAACGAAAATATGTTCTATCGATTGGATTTATAATACGTTTCAGTTTCAAATGACAAAATTAAAAGCTTCTAATGGCACAGACGTGGAAAATAATACGCCGTCAGCAAATTGTAGTAAATCTTTGCTAGTGGACATGTGCAATGCTGCCACGCAGACCGAAAAGGTATTATTTATTCCTATTCATCTATTCCAAATGAAATAATATCAAAGATAATTCATTACTTTGACATAGATACGACCAGTGTCAGCAGGACCTTCGCTTCTGCAATCACTTCCCCAAGATAGCACAATAGGGCCTCTCGTCAGGTAAGATGGTACTTTTATTTTCTTCCTGTGCGTAATTCATTATTTATATATTACCAATATATATGTATTTATAGCAACCAACAAGATTTTTTTTGTTAACTTCGATACATGTTGTAAAAGAGATCAAAATAATATTAAATATTGCAGCATTTCTCTAATGAGTTAGTTCATCGACTAATTATTTCTATACACGTAACCATTTACATTGGTAAAATGTTATTTGTTGTTTTTTCGTAATTCGAAACCTACTTATCTTCGGATCGATGCACAAAAACATAAGCATTCGCATGTGCTATATTGTATCTCTTTTACTTGATATATCTTGATTAAAAAAAGAAATCAAGTTGGTTATGCGCTGTAGAATCAAACGTATTTTAAGAACTGTTGTAACTAATAATCAACAATAATGAAACAGCAATTTCTTATCAATTTTATAAAATTAAATCATAGGAGAGATTAAACTTATTACGTTATTCTTGTCTAACATTATGAAAATCCATTAGACCACAAATAGAGCTTTGCTATTAGAGACAATGTTAAATAGAGATTGACAATATTGTGATAGAAATATAATATTAAGATTATATACAATAATGGCAACCTACAAAGGATGAATATACTTAGAATCCGGTTCAAAGTAACGCATACTTTTCATATGTCCCTGCATTAAATGCATCATAAATAACATGTTATTATTGCTGCTCTGGTCACAACCTCATGCGGATGATTTCATACGAACAGCTTCAGGATTGGGAAGGTAGAGTGCACCAGTCTATGTGATTTATTATTGGGATATTTACTTCTTTCTGCACTTAATGCCTTTATATTTGTGCATCTTTTCTATCGAAAGGATATTTATTTGATCACATAGCAATAATATTTCAGTTCATGCTGCATGAAGATCCAATCTTACTTGCGATCTACATATATATACATATATTTTTCTTTACGCGTACTCGATCATTTTTTAATATTTTAAAATCAATAATATATATACAGGGCCTATTTTTATATACACGGTCTATTTTTTCCCTTATCATTTCTATCATCAAATGCGCGATTATGGATGTTACAAAATTGATAGATAAATTCTTATTTTTATATAAATAAAATTTCTCTCATTTGATGAAAATAATAAGTGCAACTATTCTTAATTGCTAAATTAATGGTATAATAACTACAGCATGTATTATAAATGACACATACATTAAATATATGTATTAGATAATTGTTCTTCTATTTACTTCGATTGTAATGGATTTACAATTAATGATCTTTCATGCTGCAACGAATAGCCTTGCGCGGTAAGTGCGAAGGATATTATACTTTTTCTAATATTTCGCATATCTTTTATTCTGAAATGAATTTTCTTTTTTCTTGAATCCAAATGTAGAATTAAAAAGTTTGTAATCTGTGCAGTTGGAGTGATTCAAGGAATTGCCAACGTCCCTCATCGCTAGGAGAGCTTAACCATTTTAGGAACCTACATAGATCGACCGACAATTCGCAACACATATTGAGACAGCGGCAATCACAAAGTCAAATTGTTAAAACAAATATGCGGAGAAATATCATAAGGAAATCCCTTGAACAAGAAAATAGTTAAGAATCCAGCGTCTAATCATTTTTTCGAGCCGAATGACACATAAACGTGCGGTAAAAGCAAAACGATGCGACATCCACTTTATTTACCATAAGTAGCATGCTTATGAATTATATACGAAACTGTTTTTCAATGAATATAAATAATATCAAAAGAAATAGGATTTATAATTATTTGATCGTTCCTATATTAATTCTTTCTGCTTTTACCTCACGCTCATACATACTACTTTAAGTTTGATAATGTGAATCAATGCAAATGGTCAAAATCCCATCTATTATCAGGTAAATAGATGCATAAATACGTACAATAAATTGGCGTCCATTTCATGAATCATTGTTCTATTCGCGCTATATAAACTATCATTATCTTTATATTATATTTCAAATCTTCAATTAGAAAGTATGTAGCAGAAAGAACTGTTTTACTACTTCTACAAAAATCTTGCCTAATTTTCCTTCATCTGATTAGTTAAAGTTCAAGTACCACATACAAAGTGATCAATGTAATGCGATCTCAAACAGTATGCGTAACGTAATTAATACGAAGATTGTATTGATTCAAAAATATATTATTTGAAAATTCATTACATTATCGCAATACTTTTCTCTCTTACTGATTGAACTAAACTATACGTTATGCAACTGTTCTTTATAATGTACAATTTCTGGCAAGAAATATTCATTTTATACGATTATACAGTCAGGGTATTACGTAAGTTTAAATCTATTGTTTTAATTTATTTCGTCCGATTAAAACAATTCTCGGTGCTATTTAACTGTATCAAGATTATCTAGACATTTCTTTAGGTTTTATAAAAGTCTCAAGTTGTAGAGTAAAGTATAATAAATTACATAAGATTCTTTTGTTTTGAAAAAAATATAAATTGATATTCATTTCTAACATCTTAAACATCGTCATAATGCTACTTTGATCTATAAAGTTATGACTTGATTTTTATGACTTTAAATAAATAAACCAGTTTGCCCCCGTTATACATTCGAAATAATTTATATAATATATAGTAGAGCAATTTTTATAGATTTCATGCTAAGTACAGTGAAAATAGAAAAAAAAAGAAAAGCAAACAAGCTATTGGTAATCGAGTGAAATTTATTAATAACGTATTCGTAAATATCTGTATACATAAACCTATATCTCTTAAAATATGTGTGTACAAGAGAAACAAATTCAACCTAATCATTGCAGAAAATTATTTTCATGTAAATGTATTACATTTAGATTTATTATTAGATAAATTGCAAAATTTGCTTACTAAAATAAAAGTATATATACACATATATACTGAGTATTATCAAAACCGTCTTATTATATTAGATGAACTTTAATTAAGGTGAATCATTCCTACTCGAACAACTTTAACTTCAAAGAAATATTTCATACATGTTCTAATAATAATTTTGCGACGATGATTAAGTCAGAATAACTTTAATATCTGGAAATTTAAAGTGAGCCTCGGTTAATCGTAATCTAAGTGTTACATTTGTAAAAGTCTTGAATGGACAACCATTACGTTCTGTTGGTTTTACATCAAAATCTATAATAGTTACACACATATCACAACTCTAAGTTTTCTGTGATCTTATTTTGCCACATAAATATTTTAATTTATACCCATAATTTATTTGAAACTATTTTATATCTATTTTTTGTTGTTTGTAAATTCTATTTTCAAAAAATGTATAACATCTTCAAAAGAAACCCCAATAATTTGTAAAAATAAAATATATTGTATACGCGCTGTATGTTTAGAATGATGTCTTTTCTTAAATTTTTATGATTCAATCTCATACGAAGTGGATATAAGCTAACAATAATAAAGAATCCTACTCCTCCGTAGACGAACATATCAATGTATTCATTAAACACGTCAAAAATTACTTTCAGTTTAAAATCTCTGAAAGTATCTTCTGCATCAAAAACATTTTTTTTTATTTCTAAGAAAAGCAATGAAGTTTTCTATTGTTTTTTGTTTTCAGCATCATTTTTGTTACCACTGGGACCACCATTAAACAATAGTAAGTACTTAACGCGATGACGGTACAATACACTATCAAAGAAT